TTAGTAATCAAATCCAATTAATTTTCATAATTTAACTAATATAAATCAAGCCATTTAAATAAATATCATGGATCCAATGCATGAACAATAATAATTAGCAATTAATTATTTCATGCATCTCATACAACAATAAATGACAGATAAAGCAAATAAAATGGCCAATGGAATCAGCTTTTAACATTTAATTGCTCTAATCACTGCGCGAAGATCTTCCATCAGCTTGCAAACACCCACATAAGGTTGGTACGCACCAGGAGAAGCAAAACACGGCTTGGAACGCGACTGGAGGGCCCCACACGCGCTCACACGCGCCTGGGGCATGCTGCAGGTGAAACCACGCGCCCCCACGCGCTGGCACGCGCCTGGGGCGCGTGGGACGCGCCCCCACGCGCTGGCACGCGCATGGGGCGCGTGGGACGCGCCTCCACGCGCCTGCACGCGCGTGGAGGCCATACACATTTGGCTGGCGCGTGCAATGCACGCGCCAGCAGATGTCACCTCCTGGCGCGTGTTCCTCACGCGCCAGGCTCACCCCAGATGCACTACACTTGATTTTAGCCTCCTCCGACGTCTCTTCTCGCCGCCGGTGATGCTCCGGCCACCGGAAAAACGCCGAAAAATCCAAAAAAATTAATAAAAATTTCCAGAAATTAAATTAGGCCTTAAAAAATTCCAGAAAAATTCCGGAAAATTGCTAAAAAATCCCAGAAAATTTCTGAAGCCTAATTTAACCCTCTTGGACCTTCTTGAAGTTTCATAGCATCCTTTGACGAAGATTACATGGCTTTAAAAATATTTACAATTTGAAATACAATGGAAAAAATTAAATTACATCATTGAACTTTCAAACGGCTAAATCAAAGCCTTAATTACATTCATCCAAAGATAAAATTACATTAATTTAACCTATAAGCTTCATCCATGGCCCAACCATACATCATCATTCATTCACAATCATTCATACATCATTATGTATCAATATATATCAACATATTAAATCATACATCAACATACATCAATAAAAATATATATGAATATAATTTTGGATCCATGAATGATGATTTTCATAAAATCATGATCTCTAATAATGAATCAAACCATGCTCTGATACCACTGTTGGGAAACGTGCTAGTTTTAAAAACTTTTCGAGGGATTTAAATTCATAGATCTTGATTCATCACATGGAGACAAGTTTTATGCAAAAAATAAAATAAAATATGATATATTATTCAACTAAAAGATTGAATACTTACATCAAGGTTTGAGTAAACCTCAGATCTCTCCTCTAAAGTGAATGTTCTCACTTATTGTAGATCCCTTTTGCTAGATGCATTCTCCTTGGATCTCCATCTTCTTGGTAATTGTTTTGCCTTTAGGAATCACTCATATGCCTCCATGAATGACCTTGGAAAACTAGGCTTGTGGGAGCCTCCATTAGATGAGAACATAAACCCTAATTTTCTAGAGAGAGAAAATTTATTCCTTTTTCCTTCTCATAAAAATCACCCCCTAAAATATACATAGACCATGTATATTTATAGGCAACATAAAAATAAAGAAAAGGAAACAACAAATCCTTCTCCATCTCTAATTCATATGTCTCAAATCTAATATGATTCCAATATCAAGTTGGGCTATGAGTGAGAATCCATTGGGCCTATTATTTTATTGGCTACAATGAATTAATAATTGGCCCGGTCCATGGACCCAATTCAATTAATTCATAAATTAATTTCTACTCCACTAAAAGAAATTAATTGAACTCCAATTAAATAATAAATAACCTCTAAGTCAATATTGCACTTTGACCCCTCTATGCATAATTAGTTATCGGATAAATATAGCCATCAATCCGACTCTTTAATTAATATATTTATTTTGGTACCTTTGATTATTTCTGGCTCGATCACAATAAAACATTTGTTTGACAAAAATAATAATTTAAATAAATAAATATATAATAAATCATTTTGTCTAAAAACACACGAAGGCCTTCGAATTTACTTTGTGATCAACCATAATCAATACAAAATAAATACAAGTAGCAATGATGCAAATATTGAAAATATAACCCTCTAACTATTAATTACATAACTACCCAAAGTGTCGGTCTAAGGATCCCGAAGAATCCGCCGAACAAATCAAAGTAATTATTAATTAATAAAAGAGTCTATACTTTTCTCATGCTTAAGAGTCAAATGCCATGACGGTGATAGGGAGTAATTGCATACGACGGCTCTCGCAATATATCTCAACCTAACGCGGATCCAGTTCAAGTCTTAATTAATTATGAGTCCATCCATAATTACCGACTATGAACAATTTATAATTACTATTTATATATCATGCATTGATTGTCATCACATACATATATATAAATATTTCTTGTAATTAACTGGACAGTATCAATTTCATAGTGAATTGAAACATAATACATTGAATTCACCAATTATATAAATCATAAATATTTCAGATATGTCAGGAACATATGTCAATACAATCCAGATAGGAATTCGCTATGCCAGGGCATATAAATCCCAACAGAGAAGACTTCAGATTTCAAAGGAGGGTCGAAACTTGAAAGCCTAAACTGTCTCTTGGATTATTTAATTGCATCACCATGTTTAGAACATCACGAGTATTTAATAAATGAGCGAAAGCAAACCCAGAAACACAAGTTGTGTCACAAGAAACAAACAAAACCTGAAAAATCAATTCAAATTCATACTATTATGTAGAAAAAAATACGAGGGTATTACAACCTTGGAAGAAATTATTTAGTAGGTTAGTTGACTAATAAACTTTGAGTTTAATTTGTATTTCTAATAAGATAGTATGGTGTAGAACTCAATTTGTAAAACTAAGCTCAACTGAAGATCAGTGTTCCTTTTAGGTTAGATGTAAAATGCCATCTTCAGGAACCTTAGAAGGGTGGTGCAAACTCTGTTGAGGCAAAGTCAAAATGGCATAAAGCAGATGACAGTCACACCATCAGTTGAATAGTTAAAAGTTATAAGTTAGATTTGATATTCATACTCAAAGACAAATTCTACTTCATCATGATGAGATGTTTCTAAATTTTTTTTATAATTATAATTAATTCAGCTCCTAAAAGATTTTCATGTTCGTTTTCTGTTGATTTTATAATCAAATAAGATATGCTTCCACTAAAGCCAAAGCTGATTCTAGAAAGCGTGTGAAATCGCCACTGTAACTATTGTTATAATATTATTGTCAAAGCAATATGATAATTATAGATACCTCAAATGTTATGTTTGGTGGTGGTGTAAAATGTGTGTGTAAGGGCAATTTACTAGGACTCAAACCATTGTATGAGCGTTGTTCCAGTAGAACTCTTTCTAATTCTCTTTGTACAAATGTGAATCTTCTTACTGTAGTTTGTCACTCATTCTTTGATTTAAATATGAGCATTAGGTTTCGCTTATGGGAACTTGTATTCTAGGTTGATCACAGCATGACTTCTACAGTGGCTTATAACAGGTTGACCAAGCTAGAAATCCTCAGAAAATGAAGTTGGAAGCGGAGGAAAAAGAAGATATTGTATGCATATCTACTTTAAATGTCGATTAAGTGCACACCATTTTAAAAATAAAAAATATATACATTTATCCAAAAGAGGACCATGAATATCACCTCTCTTTTTCGCAAAAAGGGCCCAAAAAAAAAAAAAAAAAAAAACCTTGCTTGTGGAGTTACCATTGGCAGGATCATGTAATTCTGAATGATGCTTGGACCATATAATCCTAGATCATGTAATAATTTCTCCCCGAGGTGACATACTTACCTCCCTATAAAAACAATATGATATTTTTAAAAGAACAATATTATTAGAACATCTCTAACAATCTGTTAGAATAATCTTTTGTGTAAAATATATACGGTCACGTAAGATGTGTAATTTGTTTTTATGTCCAACGGTTTATTAAGATACCCAGGTCACTAATGTGTAAAATTGTTGTGTATTTTACACAACCTTTTTATATAACCACATCAGCATATTTCCTCTTTCTCATTTCATTAACGAATCAACCTTATATTAAATAAGTTTGTAAAAATTATGTGATCCAGGTATGACACTAGTTGGTTGTTATTAGAAATATATTTTTACACAAAATGTATAAAACAGCCACTGGAACTAAAAATTAATAATTCAAAATTTTTGTGTAAATCTATTATGATACATTAGATTTACACAAAATATATATATATATATTGAAGATGCTTGTTAGATCTTCACCATTCTCACTATTAACGTGAATTAATAATAAATAGACATGTTATCTTTAATTATCAAATTCAATATAGTGGATAAATACCCACTTATCAAATCAGAGATGGTAATTTGATTAACATTTATGATTTGATTTTTAAAATATAATATGTTCATTTATTATTTGTTCAAATCAGCGCGGTGAGTATGATTTTGAAGTAATTTGTTCTTTTTAAGGATATTAAAATTTTCATTTATTAATAAATTCAATATTCTAAAAAAACTTTTTAAGTACTAAAAAAAACTTTTTAGAAAATTATAAAAGACACTCTAAAATGAGTTTTCTTAAACTAATTTTTAGAAAACTACACCCAAATTTTTATACAATTTTCTAACCTTTAATTTTTGAAAACATAAAAACAATTTCAAAAAAATTCAACCAAAGAGACATTGTTAAACATACTTGCTATGCAATAATCTACCAGTGTTACGTTTTCATCTTTCATGTAATAAAGTGGGTGTATGAGTTAAATATTTTTCTTTGTAAAAATTTAAAAATAAAAACAAAAAAAAACTTCCATTTAAATATGTACTGTATATAATATGCGCACATATAAAATTATATACTCCCTAATACTGTACTTTCCAATAAATTATTAAAACTCTTTTAAAAAAAATACTAATAAAAACAATAGAATATCAAGTATCAAGTCTTAATCCCCAAGAAAACCTTCTCTCTCTCTATATATATATATATGACACATTATTACTCCGTCATATTTTCCCAAGAAAAGACAGACGGACATGGCGAAACTGAAGATAGCAGGGGCATGGTCTGGGGTGTTGGAGGTGCAATTGGAGGAATGGACGATCCCCATGTTGAGACAAGAGGTTGCGAAGCGATCAGACTGTGGTCCAGAATCGATCAACCTGATATGCGCAGGGAAGGTCTTGAAAGATGGTGATGGTACTCAGAAGCTTAGCGAATTGGGCGTCAAGAACAATGCTAAGATCCTAGCAAGCCGTGTCTCCGCTGATCAGGGCAAGTCCCTCAAACAAGAGTTAATGGCTGAGGAAGAACGCTCTTCTAGACTGTCTCGACTCAAGTCAGTCTCTCTCTCTTTCTCTCTCCCTTCATATAAACATACTTTTTTGTGTCTTCAATTGATTATGTGAACTGTATGTTGAATTGAATAAGCATAGAAAATTTATATATTTCGTTATGTGTGTGAGATATGGAACAAAATTGGGGAATTTTTGTTCTTTCTTGGCGTGGTTGTTGTTTGGAATATCAAGAATGTGAGATTAGTGTTGGATCGTTTTAGAGCCAATTTAACATCTTTGGCTTCTTTGAGTACTTCAATTTCTACTATTTTTTAAGATTTTTTGGAAATTTTGAATCAAAATATCAAACTAAAAGAACCCTAGAAAGAGAATTTTTCGAGTCTAAAAGTCCTTGGGAGAAGAAGTTAAGCAAAAAGAATTATTCAGATGTTGGGAGAGAGACTCGGCTTTCATTGTTTCAATTCCAATTCTTGAAATTTCAATACTCGACCCAATACTTAAAATTTCGGACGGTCCAACTTGTATATGCTTTGGTTTCCATCTAATTAGGACTAGAGCAATTTTATTTACATGAATATAGAAAGGTTCAATTCCTGCTCCTGATTCTGGACCCAATTCCATTATCCAATTGCAGCCTCATAACAATTGAAAACTTTCGAAAACTTGTTTCTTTTCTTGCTCAACTTAGTTACTTAATAAAACTCAAATAGTAAACAAGCTGTGATTTTAGAAGCCATGATGGAAGTGCCTTCTCATTTTCATGCAGTGCCATGTCATGTAAGTCTTCCAAGATTTATTGTTTGAAATGCCTATTTAGTTAATTGTGTGATCCAAGGCAAAATCTACTTGACTCTTCATTTTTAGAAGAATTGTCCTTGAATTGTATTAATTTAGAGGATTGTGAATATCTTCCTTTTATCATAATAATATAGTTAAAACCTACACTGGAGCATCTTACTTTGTGCTTAAGCTTGCCCATGAGCATTACCCTTTTATTTATAATTCAAATGTGAAATTTGGGTTGTCCTCACAGTCATAATATCATTAAAGCTATGTTTGGGATCATTGAATCTGCGGCTTGGATTTGAAATTGGGGGAAATTTAGTTTAAACATTCTACTATTTTTTCTCCAATTCCAAATCCAAGATGCCAATTCGGCGTGCCCAAACGCAACATAAGTAAAATAATGAAGAAATAGAAGGTAGAGGAGTATGGTACCTTCATGTGGGCAATCTCAAAGTGTAACCATTGAGAACTTTGAAATGATAGCAACTTTATGTAATGAAGAAAGTTCAAAGAGGAATAAAACTATTATATTTGATTTAGTTGGCCCACTGAAAAGTTTATGGAGTGGCATTCTCTAGCAGTTAACCATGTTCAATAAGCTTTTGAAGAGTTCTGTCTTCTGTCCTACTTTTATGAGTTTTTCATAAAGGAACAATCTACTTGGTTTCACGATTAATTGATTTGAGGAATTTTTTTCTCTTTCCTAACTTGCAAAGAGCCCTGCATTAGGAGTTAGAGATATAAGACATTATATAGTGTTGACTATTGAAATCCAACTTTTTCCCCTCTTCATTTTATTTTAGATACCTGAATTTCATCAATTTTAATTCAGCCTTGAGATTACTTCTTGTTTGGATTGAAGTCATAGTAATACTATTACCTTCACGTGTTAAGGAACAACTGAAACATCTACTAAGTGCTGCAGTTTTTGACACATTTGCATGTGCCTCGGAAACTTTTCAAAAGCTGCTCACATGGCCATTCTTTTTCTTTGAAAATTTATGTATAAGGTTAAGACGTGTAGTTTTCTCTTTCAGAAAACTGTGTTTGTGTAGTGGTTGCATAGTTTCAGCCTTTTACGTGATACAATGCTGTGAACACATAAGGTGCATGAAATAATTTTTAATTTAAAGCAATCTTAATCCACATACTGGAGAGAAAGAATTTCTTAATGATTGAACCAAGGGAAAGTTGTCTCTCTACTCTCCATCAACCAGAAAAATGTATCAATGATAAGTTCCCTGGTCTCTGTTGATTTTACGAATTAGAAGCAACTGAATATCAATAAACAATTAGAAAACAGTGATAGGGTTGGTGAGTATATCACAATTTGAGAGGAACATCTCCAGTGCAAGTCTAATACTATCAAACAATTAGTAATATATGACTACATACAATCTCAAGAGGAAACCATTGACTTGTTAATTGCTAATGGTGCCTAATATATTTGTGTGTGTGGAGAGGTTTTTAACGAATAGACCTTGCTTGTCCAAGTAATATGACCCAAAATTGAGACCATGTAGTGTATTCAATCTTGTGCTTTTTCTTGTTTGAGCAGACTAACTGCTCTTCTTTTTTTGTAAGTAGCTCTTTTATGACACCATGAAATTGACAGGGCTGCTGCCATTTCACTCTCCAAGAGACATGCAGATGGTTCGTTACCCATTGAGGACTTCAACTTGGAGCTGGAAAATCAGAGTGGAGAGACAGTGCAATTGGGATCTGAGACTGATCAAAGGTATGATGTACATACTTGGATATTGAATATAGTTTATTACTAACTTACATTTGGCAGCGGTTTAGGACCTGTCAGTTTTTTTTTTTTTTTTTTTCGTTTTTTTTTAAATTGCTTTTTTTACTAAAAGCAATTATAATGGTCATTTGACAGGGCAGTAATGATGGGTCTCATGCTTCATGCAAACGCAAAACAGCTTATTAGAAGGCAAAACTATAAAGATGCATTGGAAGTGCTCACCATGGGAGAGGTTAGTTATTGCTGTCTTTCATGCAAGAAAATGTTTGATTGGGTATTCGGAAGAGTTTGCAGAAGGATTGCATAATTATGGTGTAATTGTTCAAAGGATCATCAAATCAATCCAATTTGTGCCCCTGATTTTAATTTTGTGGTTTAGATAAAACTTGCAAGAATACTACAATTTAAGGCTTTTATTCTAGTGCAACATAGTTAAACTATTCTCACAGTCTACCTGTGAATTAATATATGTTATCATTTTTTCTTGTTTACTGTTATAGTTTCTTTATCCCTTTGAAACTTTTAGGACTCTCTCTCTCTAATTTTAGCAAAATGAAACTGAGCCATGTGAAAACATTCTTTGTCCAGGAAGTTGGTAATTTAAATTGTCCAATCATGCTTTTCCTATAATTGCAAAAGGAAATTAACCCTAATGTGCTCAATTTCTTTTTTATAGGAGGCTTTTTCTCTCTGCAACCCCAAGGTCATTGAGGTGAGTCATTTTTTTCTTTTGAGGAGTTTGTATTCTAAAAGATTATCTAATTTACTAGGAACAAATCATTGAGCCATTCATGATGCCCCACATTCTGTTTTTGTCATTTACTGAAGGTGAAAGATGCTTTTAGATTTTGCCATAAGACATGCATTCTGTAATGATTAACATCTGGAACATTATAGGAAGAGTTGCATCTTGGGAAATCTGTATACGAAGAGAAAGTATGTTCTGTTGGCTTCTTTTTCTTTCCTTCCATGAAAAGAGTTTTGGAATTTATGAACTCCTATAACTTTTAAAAGAAATTTGTTTGAAACTGTAGGCATTAAGCTGTTATTGAATTGAAACCCTGAAGATGACTAAAACTACTATGTTTTAAGAGTGTGCTGTAAATATATTAAGCAACCATGAGCATCACGACACTGTGCAATGTGATATGAATTTTACAGTCACAAAAATGGTTTCAACTTTCTTTCCTAATATAATCATTTCACATTTATATCTTGTGCTTTTTGGTCTTTTTTTATTTGGCTTCTAGATGATTGACAACGTCCCGATACTGCAAATAGATATGGTGTGGTGCTATTTCATGCTCCGAGACATTAGTTGGCTCTCAGTGGCAGGAATACGCCTTGCAAAGGCAAGAGAAGGACTTGAACGTGCTTATGGGAAGGAATCCAGTCGTGTTAGACTCCTTCAAGGAGGGCGCCATCCAGAGCTTGCATTGTGAGTTTTCTTCTTTAAAAGGATAAGTCATCTGCATCTTACCGTATTGAAGAATTGAAGGTGAAAAATATCATTATACGCTATTTGAAGCTATTTGATCATTCTTTGTTTTTCGTAGACACTTGAGGCTGGAGCTGTTGGAAGGAGTAGTGTCATATCACAGTGGTCATATTGAAAAAACTAGGAAGGCCTTGACCTCTGCACAAATTAAATATTTCCAGGTTAGTTTATTTATTTTCAGCGGATGATGTGGTTGTTAAAGAAAATTAATCAGATCAGTGTAAGGTGGTTGTTACAGTCCACTTCAAGTTTTACGAAACACTCTCTCAGTGGTTATTTGTCTGTGGCATTCACATTGGACCTGTGCCAAATTCTTGCCAGCTTATTTTGGATTCTTGTTATTTTTTATTTGTCACCTACTTCATATTCCATCCCATCACTTTTATCTTTCCCTTAAAATTATTCTGACTAGCGTAATTTTTTTCTGATTTCCATTTCCTCTCTACGAAACTACCTGTTTCTCAATTCAGCTTCAGGTTCCAGATGAAGCCCTATCACTACTTATGAGCATGGGCTATAAAGAACATGATGCAAAAAAGGCCATGCGCATCAGCAATCAGGATGTTGAGAGTGCCATTGATTTTCTTGTTGAGGAGAAAACAAAAAAGGCACAGAAGAGGGAGGATGACATTCGGCGGAGGAATGAGATCATGTGGGTGTCATGCTAATCTAAATTAAAAATAACTTTGCTCTATTCAGTATAACTTCACCATCACTTACTTTTATATACCAAAAATTGCAGGGAGCAGAAGCGTTATGGAAAGACACAGCTTGGGAAAGCCGTGGATCTCCAGAGATTGAATGAATTGGTATCCATTGGGTAAGGAGGCCCAACAAATATAGGGAAACTATAATACAGCTTTCATCTAATAAAAGTTTAATTTCTTTCCTTGTACAATGGGAAGGTGAGGAGATAAACTCTAATTGGGAAGAACTTAAGGATGTCAACATACACGGAAGCTAAGTTTGTAAGCCGTGAAAGTCACTTTTTAAAAAATTTGTTATGTTTTTCTTGATAGGAAGTCAATGGTTATCGTTGCAATTATCTATTTTGTGATAAGAAATCGTCTTTTTTTGTTTATTGGATCTTAAAGAAAATAGTGGTGAACCAAGGTAGTTCATTGTGGAGCACTTGGATCCGACTCCTAAATCAGTTTTGTTTTAGGTCCACTTTTGCATAGGACTTGCAACTCTCCAACATTTTTGACATATTGTCCTAACTCCTAACTATTCATGAGTAGCAAGTTGGTTCTTGGTCACTAATTAAGCTGACGTATATTTAACTTTTTTTTAGGTTTGAGAAAGAGCTTGCTGCCGAAGCCCTTCGAAGAAATGAAAATGACAATCAGAAGGCTTTGGATGAATTGACAAACCCAGAATCCAATTCTGCCATTCAGGTGAGTCGTTTTCTTGTAGGGTTATTTTTGGCTCGAGTTTATTGCAACCCCAATCATTATTCTGTTTGATTTGCAGCTTTATATTGAATCAAGGAAAAGGAAAAGACTGCATCAAGCAGCTGATGCAGCAATTGAAGAACTTGTGTCTATGGGTTTCCCAAGAGAAACAGGTACCTAGAACACAAGAAGATGTTGCGGTGCCACAATATTTGTGTCTTTCTATTCACTCCTTCATTTATCTGCTGTGTCATCTAAACTACTACTTTGTACCCTTGCTGTTAAAAGATGGTACCTTCCTGAAACTTTGAAGTGTCTCCTTATCAAAAATAATATTTTGAATCAAAATGACTGGTTGTCTTCATTATTTCTCTTGACCATATTTTGCCTGCCATTGACTGTCCTTCCAAAGCTGCTGTAGCACATTTGTGCATGTGTTGGCTGTTTGATTCTTATTACTGGAAAATTGTTGCACTGCCCTGTCCGATAAAGAAATGATTAAACTACTTTCTACTCTTACTAGTTCTGCACACTGACAGTTTTGCAAATTTAAATTCTAATAAAGGAAAAGTTAAAACATGATTAGAATAACATAGTGGAATCTATGGAGATTTAAGTAGAGGTAGGCACAAAAAGAACATATTCTGATTACTGAAAATGTAAAATATGCAGTGAAGTTTTGAGAAATCCTGTATTTAAGTGTGTAGCAGTTTCTGACACATTTTTTTTTCCCCTTGTGGTTGGGTATTGTAGTGGTTGCAGCTGTACGGGCATTTGGCTCAAAAGAGCAAGCATTGAGTCATCTACTTGAACAACCAAACCCTGATCCTGCAGTTGCATCGGATGGCAATGCAAACATTCTTGGCACGGATGTTTTGAATACTGAGGGTGGTGTTGGAGCTCCATCAGGTGAGGATAGCGTTGGAGGTCCATCAGGTACCAACAAAGTAGAAGAACGAGACATAGAGATGGAAGATGAACTTGCGGAAGAACTACGAAGAGGAGATGCTTTTTCTGACTATGACATTGAGGTTACAAAGGAAGGCGAAGCTATAAATGAGTACTTGGCTCTGTTGGCTTCTGCAGAGAATGCTGAGAGCGCTCCGTCTTCTCACTGAGAAGATAATAAATCTAAAGGAACAATTAACTTACACTTCTTGTGTACAGGGCTTTCATGTAATAGATCTAAATGAACGTTTAACATACACTTCTGTGTACAGGGTTTTCGTCTCATATCAGTAATTTATGTAACTGTTTGCTAATGTCTTGGAGAGTGGTAAGTTTTCATATGAAGGAAAAATATCAGTTTTATGCTGAATTAAGAGACAACTAGCATTGCAGAAACTAAATCAGGTGCCCCGTACAGGTGAATACAGATGAAGTTGAATTTTCTTTTCTTCTCTTTCTCAGATGGTATTTGGTAAGGGAGAGGAGGGGAAGATGGAGAAGGTTCCTCCCCCTCAATGCACCTTTAACTTCTTTAAAAAGGCATGAAAAAGGGGAAGGGAATCGCAGGCGGCTTCCACGTAGTTGTTCTACTATTTGCAGGTAAAACGGCTAAGTCGCTCAATTCCCTTTTCCTTTCTTCCTTGATCCTTCATATAGAGGTTCTACCTTTTCATGGTTTTACATCCTTCACATTAGTTTACCTTGCATAAAATGGAATTGTTGTGTTACAATTCCAATTGGAGATAAATTCAAGGATTTGGATTCGTTTGCAGTTTGACTAAGATAGAAGCAGCTCCCTTGAGCAATGTGGATGTGTAGAATGCATGTAGGTTTTCTGACCATGATGTATGTTATATTTGCTGAAAAGAAAGAAATTATGTCTGTTTACGTGCTAGGAAGGACTAACCCCAACTTGGAAGGGGAAAAAAAAAAAATTATATAAGGAATCAGAGTGGGGAGGAAAAAGTATTCTCATGTTTGGTTCAAAAGTGAAAAGGGAAACTAGGGGAATAAAGTGAGAAATGGGGTTTGTCATCCTTCAACGAGTAAATTTTGTTTTTACTTTCTCCATTCAAATTAGAAAACATAAAATCACTATTTTCTTTAATTACCCAAATAAGATCAATTCTTTTATGAAGTGATTGTCACAAAAAAATTATTTATTAATAACCCAAAAATTTTTTGAGAAATCAACACAAATATTTTATCCCTATTATTTTATTCCAACTAAGGTTACAATTCCCAAAACCAAATTTGACCTTTTCATTGAAGGAATGTGTGTAATGGACATATCCTTCATTGAAGGAATGTGTGACACGTGTTTTTGGATACTGAAAGGCTGTCATCTCAACACCTGCTGCTGCCTGCCTTGCAATAGATGGGAACTGCTGCTTTAGTTGCTGAGTGGGGTCCCACGTAGAGTTCCTTACTTTTTTCACATGCTCTGTGATAATGTGATGGGCCTCTAGTGGCAGATATGTCCCAGACCAATTTTCAAGTTTGCCCCCAACAGGGAGGTATATGCCTCAGGTCACTGACAAGCTAACACAACCCTTCCAATCCCTTATGCTGATTTTTTATACAACTATGCTATTGGAAACACTATTTGCCAGAGCTCTAACTAATGGCTACTTCATTGGTTTACAAAAAAAAAATATATATATATATATATATATATATATACACACACACACACACAAATTCTTTAAAAACAAAAAAAAAAAAAATTATATACTCATTTTTAATTATAATCTTAAAATCTAATCATATGATAATTAGTTAATTAGTTTTTTTTTTTTTTTTAAGAAACTTACACTTTCTTTTCATACTATTTATTCTTGTTTCCTTTAATAAATTATCTTTAATGGTAAAGAAAGAAAGAATAAGTTTTTTAAAATGAAGAAGAAAAAAAAACTAATTAACTAATTGGGTAGGATTAGATCCCTTTTAAGAAAGTATAAGTTTTTAAAATAAAGAAAAGAAAAACTAATTAACTAATTTAGAAAAAAAAAAACTACTATATATATATATATATATATATACACACACACACACACATACAATGATTCATCTGTTCTGTTTTTTTAATGACTCAATGAAATTTGACATACAATACAGATGCAAATAAATAATTTTAAATATATACATATAATTTTACTCTCACCAAAAAATTCAAATAATCTAAATTTTGTACAAAGTGTGTGATTCTAGTACTTGATATGTTCAATTATAATGATTCAACGAATAAATTTTTTTTAACTATATTACTTTTTATCATTTTCATCCTAATCTGACATTTCTCTAAAATCAAAATTAGATTGAATAGTCCAAGTTAAACATTACTAATATTTTCTTAATAAAATTTATGAAAACAAAATACTATTGCCTTAATAAAGACATTGCACACAAGGCTAAGATATTGAATGAAATGTGGCTTCTCGCTTAACGAGCAAGAAAAGGGTTACATAGCCTTAAATTATTCGTTTAAATTCAATATTACTTTCTAGAAATTGTTGTTGCTTGTACAAAGTAACACGTTAGACGGGCAATAGTCAAACGGACGTTTGCCGTTAGCTGATAAAAACCGTTCCCCACTATCTTGGAGTTCACGGAAATGCGGGTCCCACCTTCTTTGTCGTGTGAAATTATTAAAAAAAACATATTTAATGGGATTTTTTGCGGCTTTTTTATTTGTGGTGCTTACGTGCAGCTGTAAGATTCTTGGTCGGTTCTTCTTCCACTTTCAGCACATCCAAACACATATTCATTCCAGGAAAACAAAAAAGCAACAATTTTCTCTCAGTTTCTCTCTTGATTATCCCGGAAAGTCAGCTGGAAGTCTGAAGGTTTTTGAAGAAAGCAAGTTCCCAGATAGGTCTTCTCACCAAATTCTCTGATTTGTTATTCTTAACACAAGTAAGAACTTTGGTTTGTAAAAGAGTTGTTTGTAGCTGGTTTAGGATTAGTTTCTCTCCCTCTCTCTGAATTGGGATTTGCTCTTATCCTGGATTAGAAGCAACAAATCCTGATTTGGAGGGAAGACAATTTTTTATTTCTTTGTGCTTTTTAATTCATGGGTGATTCCTGTTCTTACTATATCTATTGTTGGAGACAACTCATTTGAGTTCTGGAGTCAAATTAGGGTTTTGTAGGTCATTCCCCCATAATTCACTCCTGGTTGGAGCTTCAATCAGAATAGATCACTGGGTTCTGGTTGATAGTTCTGTTTAATTGGATTGGATTGGGTATGGTAAAGTAGGAGTTTGAATCTCTTTTCCTCTTAATTCACTCTTTTTTAAGGTTTTATGTTGAATTGGTTTATGGGTGTGGATGGGTTTTGTTGTGTAACTCCTTGAGTTTCAATATCAGGTTTTATGTTTGTATTGTGAGGGTTTAGATTTGAAGTGAAGTTATATTGTTAGTGATTTTGGTTGAGGTTTTGTGTTCGATCATATTGTTGGCGCTGAAGATGGGGAAACAAGCTGGGAAAAAGAAGCGGGTGGGAGCGAAATCGGGCGATTCAAGTGTAAAGCAAACCAAATTTGGGGATAATGGCGTAAAATTATATGACAATGACACAGCAGTGTTCATGGCTATGTCGCGGGAATTGAAGGAGGAGGGCAATAAGTTGTTTCAGAGGAGAGACCATGAAGGAGCCATGTTGAAATATGAGAAAGGTATCAAATTGCTTCCGAGAAACCACATTGATGTATCCCATCTCCGGAGTAATATGGCTGCGTGTTATATGCAGATGGGTCTCAGTGAGTACCCCCGGGCTATTCATGAGTGCAATTTGGCTCTTGAAGTCACACCGAAGTATAGTAAAGCGCTCTTGAAGAGAGCTAGGTGTTATGAGGCTTTAAATAGGCTGGATTTGGCACTGAGAGATGTCAATACAGTATTGAAAATGGAGCCAAATAATCTCATGGCAACCGAGATTGTGGAAAGGGTGAAAACAACAATTGAGAAAAATGGCGATGGTGCAAGTGATAAAGTGATTGATTTGATTCCGGAATGTGCTGAACCATCAAATGCTGCATCTCCTCCCAAAGTATCAAACGAGAAGCCTCGAAAGAAGAAGAGCAACAAAATAGAGGAGAAAAAAGACAAGGAAATTATTGTGGAGATGGATGATGAAATAGAGAAGAATATAGCTGAGGAAGAAATAGAAAAGAAGCAAGCTGAGGATAAATTGGTTGTGGAGGAGGAAATAAGTGACGTTAAGGAGGAAGAGCCTAAGAGGACAGTCAAATTGGTGTTTGGGGAGGATATAAGGTGCACCCAGTTGCCTGTTAATTGCGGCATTTTAAAACTGAGGGAGGTTATACGTGATCGGTTTCCAAGCTCAAAAGCTGTTCTTGTTAAATACAGGGACCAAGAAGGGGATTTGGTCACAATCACTACGAATGAAGAATTGAGGTTGGCTGAAGCTCCATCTGAACAACAGGGTTCTGTCAGGCTATATATAGTTGAAGTTAGTCCAGAGCAAGATCCATTCTTTGAGAAGGTTAAAAGAGAAGACGAAGTGCACAAGCTTCATTTAAAGCAAAATCATGTTATGGAGAATGGGAATGTAGGAAAAGATAAGGAAACGGAGAAGGGGCCAGCTTGCATCGATGACTGGATTATCCAGTTTGCTCAGTTGTTCAAAAACTATGTCGGGTTCAATTCTGATGCATATTTGGATATTCATGAACTCGGGATGAAGCTTTACTCTGAGGCTCTGGAGGAGACAATTACAAGTGAAGAAGCACAAGACCTTTTGAACACGGCAGCAGAAAAGTTCCAGGAGATGGCAGCTTTGGCCCTGTTCAATTGGGGAAACGTTCATATGTCCAGGGCAAGGAAGAGGGTGTACCTCACAGAAGATGCTTCAAGAGAATCTGTTCTTGCACAGATCAAAACCGCATATGACTGGGCACTAAAGGAATATTTGACAGCAGGAAGAAGATATGAAGAAGCACTGAAAATTAAACCAGATTTCTACGAAGGCCATCTAGCTCTAGGGCAGCTGCAGTTCGAGCAGGCAAAACTCCAGTGGTACTATGCAATCAGCAGCAACGTTGATATGGAAACATGGTCTTCTACTGAGGTTCTACAGCTTTATAATGATGCAGAGGACAACATGGAAAAAGGCATGCAGATGTGGGAGGAATCAGAAGAAAAGCGTCTGAATGAACTCTCTAAGCCAAATAAGGTCAAAACCTTGTTGCAGAAATTGGGTTTGGATGGATTATTTAGCGATATATCTGCAAATGAAGCAGCAGAGCAGGCTGCAAACATGAGGTCTCAGATAAACGTTTTGTGGGGTACCATGCTCTATGAACGGTCAATAATGGAATATAAACTAGAGTTACCAGTCTGGCAAGAATGTTTGGAGGTCGCAGTTGAAAAGTTTGAACTTGCTGGAGCTTCTCCAACGGATATAGCTGTTATGATTAAAAACCATTGTTCCAATGATACTGCACTGGAAGGTGAAATAGTATTGCTCAATTCTTGCTCCATAATTTTTTCTGAATATCTATTAGAAGTTTGGTTATGATTCTAACCACTTATTATGATAACAGGCTTAGGGTTCAATATTGATGAAATAGTACAGGCGTGGAACGAGATGGGTGAAGCAAAAAGGTTGCAGAGTGGTGTGCCCTCTTTCCGATTAGAACCACTGCTTCGCCGCCGCGGTTCAAAACTCTATAATGTCCTGGAGCATGTGGGAGTCGCTTGTTGATTGTACTTATAGTAAAAGGGAAAACAATTACTATAGGTGCTGCATTACCCGGGACTCATATATCCATTTATACCACGTAAGTGACGACATACTGGTATCATTTTCTCTTAGTTTATTTGCAAATCTAACTATACTGAAAGTTCTGTCACATGTGATGCTAAAAGCTGCAGTAAAATAGTTCATTCTAAGATGCATCAAAATGTTGAATAACCTTGAAGACCGTCGTGCTCACACTTCGCTAGGAATTTAGTTGGGACATTTCTTCAGTAGCTTCTCCATTCAACTAACATGTCCTACCTTGGACAGTTACTGTATTTTGTAGTCAAGTTCTTCCAGATTTTCTCTTGAATGGTCTTATTGCTTTATATTGCTACTCGGTATGTGGTTTTTTTCTTTGGTGAAGTGGTATCTCTTAAAATTGGCAAGTAGAGTGACTAGGAGAAGTTAACATTGTTTTTATATGTGGCTCTACAAAGCATAGTATTTGAAAATGTTCACGAGTGGTTCATAACTTGTTATGTTATTGCATTTGAAAATATGCAACTATTGGTCTGTACTTGGGAAGGGTGCACCTTGTGGTTTGATTCCTTCCAACCCAGAGAGTTTTATACATCAAGCTAAGTTGTAGACACCATGGCACTGTAGTCTGTTCTTAAGACCATTGAAATTGCAACTGGTCTTGTTCTTGTTCCAATTATTTGATATTTACTGAGCTGAATTTCAATTTCCTTTTTGAATCTATAGCCTCGGTAATTGAAACATTGATTTGTCTGTTCTGCAGGTTTTCATGCTGATTCAGCTCTTAGTTTATAGCTTTGGAGTTCTACTTGCAGAAGGGGAAAAAAATTTAAAAAGAAAAAGAATAAAGAAAAAGAAAAAAAAAAAATTAGAGTTGCTGGTTTTGCAATTGTGGTGTTTGTAAATTATATGCTGACAAAACAAGTTCTACCATTTCTTTCCACCTGGGGACAAGATGAAGAGCAGGAATTCCCTTTTTTGTTCGTTTCTGCTTTTACCCACATCACTTTCCCATTTTTACTAGTTTCGGACAGTTAGCAGGAGAATTTACTTGTACTTTATAGTTTATACCATTTGATTTAAGCTCTCTGTTTTGTAACTTTTTACACAATTTCATGTTCAATTTATTAGTGTCTTTGAAAACGATTTTTGTATTGGATCTTATTTGTATTTGTTTGTCATATATTCTGCAAATTGAATCGTATAAGAAGAGAACCTTCTTTCATAATTCTTAGCTTGAAAGTTGAAACTATTTGCATTGGAGTTGTTATACATTCAAATACATAACTTTGTTAGATGTAGTGAAGAAAGTACAAGAAAGAAGCATACAACACTGTAAACAAGGGAGTATTATTTTTTATCCAACACAAAAGGCTCACACAATTATGTTCCCCTCGAGGGCAAGCAACACCGCACCAAGATGAGTCCCAACTCTCAAGACTGTCGGTAGCACGTTTTTTTTATCCCCACCCACATAGATAGCGCTTGACCTTTCTATGGGAAATATCCTCGGAAAGATAGGATGCTCGACCGACCATTTGTTTTATAAGGTGAGAAAGTACGATACTCGATCGACAATTTCGTTTATAAGGTGAGAAAGTACAATTAAACTGCCTTAACAATATGTGCATCCGCATAAATCGGATACCTTTTGAAAGGTGAAAAAGTACTTGTAGTGTTTCCGATTTTCGCCATTTTTGAATTTTTCAAAAATTCGTTAATGCAAGGGCATTTTTATCTTTTCACTTCTACGCGCGGGATTGTGATTGGGTCCTAGTGCATTTTTCAAATTTTAATTGATGTGAATTATGTAGCATTTGTATAGTGTAATTATGTGTGTGTGTATGTGGTGTATAATTGAAGTAAAAGTAAAAGAGTAAAGAAAAGAAAATTGAACGGGGCCCACCACCATCTCTATTATGGGTTAGAGACCACTTTCTTTTTTTTCTGGTTTCTCATTTTTTTCTTTTCCCGTAAGTTCTCTCCCTCCCTACTGCTTCTTGCTATTCTTTTTCATTTTGATTTCAAAACTTTGGATCTTGATAACTCACTCAATACTTGTCGGATTTGAGTGCCATTTAAGGCAAAACGAAGCTCGTGTCAAGCTCTACGCATCCATACCACCAATTTCCAATTTGAGCACCCTTTGGAGTTCGAATCTAGAGACCCATTTCTAGGGTTTGGCTCACTTTTGAGGTAAGGGCATCTTAATCCACTCCTTTCTTGTTCTATTGTGAATTATGACCCTATTGTGTGATAATATGCTTAATTTGAGAAATTACTTGCTTCCATGATGTATAAATTATGTCTAGAGAATTTCATTACTTTGATTATAACTTGTATCATGTGAATAACATGTTTAGATGATGACCTTGTTGTGTTAAATATGTTGATGATTTAATTGAGGATGTTGAACATGATATATGCCTGAATGTGTAGTGATGATGTATTAAAAAGTTTCTAAATGTTATAATGTTGAATTTTTATGTCTACTTTGTGTTAATATGCTAGAAATGATGTATAAGAGCATGTTTATTTAGATTGTGCCAAATTTCCCCTTTATCATAATATTGTAATCATTTATACATTCATGCACATGTCATTTGGATGCATGAAAAGGGAAAAATTGGTCTTGAAATGAAAATGGGGGATTTGGGAGATGATAGTTTTTGTGAAATGGTTTTGATAAACCCGGTCGCTGCGGAGTTACCAATGGGCCGGAGGTTAATGTAGCCTAGAGGGAACTAGGGAGAGTACCTTAGCGTGGTTGAGCTATTCGGGCCCCTCGACGGTGCTGCGGAGTCACCAAAGGCCTAGGGACGGTAGCCAATCCTTCTCTCGTCGCGGCGGAGTTACCAAAGGGGGTTACATTAACATTTGAAAGTGATGGTTTCGAGAATGAAAATGGGGAGTGACATTGGCATGCATTTGGATTCATTGCATTGCATTGATTATATTGGGAAATGACTTGTGTGTTGTATAAGATCCCCTACGTTGAATGATCCCTATTTCCCATTGGTCTATTCTTTGCTTGAATTCACAAGGATACAAGATTTGTGTCTTAAGTGTCACCTACTGAGCATATAGCTCACCCTACTATTTATACATTTTTTTTTCAGGTCTTGGAAAAGAACTGGTGGACGACAACCCACCTCAAGCTTGAGCGATACTAGAAGCTCACTTTTGTGTCTTTTGTATATTCCCCATTATTTTTGCAAAGCACTGAAAGTGTAAAGGTATATATATATATATATATATATATATATATATATATATATATTGCAAAACTTTGTCATGTAATGTAACTAAGGTATTTGATGGTATTTTGGATGGGAATTTGATAGTATGTAACCTTGTTGATGAATGGGAATGATAATTTTAGTTAAAGTAATTATTGGTGTTATTTGACTATGTATGATCATATACTGTTGCCGTGAATTCAGAAATCAGTTGCATGACAGGTTAAGAATGCATTTAAACAGGTTGCGGTAGGTCCATATTTCGGGGAGGTTATGCCGAATTTAAAATTAAAAAAAAAAAAAAAAAAAAAAAAAAAAAAAAAAAAATGGTATCAGTTAAGGGTCGTTACAGAAATGGTATCAGAGCCATGGTTCGAAAAACCTTAGGACGACGGGTGGTGGCTTACCTAGACAAAGTAGAAAGTTGACTTGTGATGAATGTGCATTTGTGTTTATGTGTTTACCATTTTAAGAGGCATGCCTACTTGTTTACTTGCTTAAATATTTTCTTGTTTACGTGAAATACATGCTTACATGTTTACAGTTTGAGAATATGCTTAATTACTATATGCTGATGTGTTTAAATGCTGAGATTTATGTTGCTTGATCATGTATAAGGAATAATAGATAATTTAACCGCGTAAATGAAAGGTGAAAGAAAAGAAAAGTATAATGATTGTATGAGGATTATGATAACGAGGAGTAGTAGGCACAATGTGTGCAGTTCTGATTTTGGTGTCAGTATGACAAGCAACGAGCGTATGCAAAGGCATTTCGTATAGTATCATGGATTCATTTATTTTGCATCCGTGTATGTGTCCATTTCCCTATGTAGCTATACGGTTAAGCATTAGAGTGATTGTTAGCATGTTGGGGTATTTGTCATGGCATCGAGGGACGAGTGAGTCTTGACTTTAGAAGGTGAGGAGCTCGGTTGCTCCAGGGTTGTTTGGGTGTTGGTTCTTGTCAAACTAATAGCGTAGGTTTTAGCTCGTGGAAGGAGTTATTTCAGGTGCAATTATTTTAATCTTCTTATCGTGTTTTGTGCGGTGCTTAGAGCACGACCATAAAACGGGGTTCTTAATTCATGGCTAAATGCCCTTATTATGTTTGAGTGTTTAAAGCTTTGAGTTAGGGTTGTATGATTGTGTTGTGTTTGATCCTTTTTCTTTCTGTTTTAGAATCATGCCTCCAAAGAGACGTAGAGAAGGAGATGATGGTGAGGAACATGATGAGCTTGTTGATTGGGATCTTTTGATTAAGAATTTGGTTGAGGCTATGACAAACTTTGTGCGTGCAGTAGTTATAGAAGCTCAGAGGTCGGTGACACAGTCAAGGATGACAGGGATTAGAAACGGATCAGGAGATGGAGACTTATGGAATTGGGTTAAAGAGGTGGAGATGTTGTCCAAAAGTCATGTACGAAAAATGCTAAAGGGTGATTCTCCTCATTCTCCAGTTACTTTTGCTTCACCGCCGGAGACATCCGGTAAGGTCAAAAAGGCTTGTTATAAGTGTAAGCAGATAGGTCATTTAAGAGTAGAGTGCCCTTAGGATCGGCCCAGTTTTGGAGTCTGTTTTGTGTGTGGCCAGTCTGATCATAGGAAGAAGGATTGTCCCAAAAGAAGTGGAATTCCAGTTGGCGGGGTAAATTCAGGGCAAGAACTGATTCAACCTTCAGTATCACAGATTGGTATTCAGCTTGGAGAGTCACTAGAGGGACCTCCTGTGGACGAAGGTATGTAATTATAATTGTTTATAGTATTTCATTGGTATTTTCTTTTAGTGAGTGTTCGGATTAACGAGTAATGGAAATGGTGATGGTAGTGGCATTGATGTTGAACTTAGGACACGAAATTTTCTTAATTAGGCATGTCGACTACTTTAAAAGGAATGGATTAGGTAGTCGGTTAAGCATTGTGAATGATTGTATTGTTGATGATTCTAAGGAGACAAGTGGGTGTTGAGCATTCTGGATCTTGTGCTCATTTTGTTTGAGGATTTATCGGCATGATATTGCCGTATGGAGATTCTTTTCTAGTGATGTATAGCGATCGTTATGGGGGGTATCGAGAGCAATGGTTGTTTTTTTAGTTATAATGGTATTGTCTTGAGGATGTTTGAGGAAAAGTCGTTTAGTGGTGGCTTAGTGGTCTGGTGGATTGATAGGTTTGAACGTGGAGATGTTAGGATGTCATGATATGATGTTTAGTGCTGATGAGCATGATGGTTTTAGGTATGATCCGGGAACGGATTAAGGATTGTGAGTTAGTTGTAGTGTGTTGTTAGATAGGTGATTAGGGATTATGTGTCAGTTGAGGTGATTGTGGACAGTTTAGTCTTTTGAGCTAGTGAGAACGGTGTTGCTAGATAACCACTTTTTTCTTTAACGAGTCGTGGGTTAATGTGACTGACGTCACGAGTCTTGTTCCTTGTGTTTGTGTGATGTGAGCGTTGGTGCTCTTATCTGGTTGGTTTTGGCATGTATAGGTGTTGCGGGGTAGCGTATGCAAGGTTTCCATGTTAAATGTGTATGACGGTCTGTTTGTGGCAAGGTCGCCTAGAGTTGCAGTCGTAGTTCTGTATATGCTTCCTAGTTGGTCCTTCTCTTTATATATAAGGAGTTCGTTTCATCTTAAGTAAGAGTGGATGTCCATGGTTGGACGATTGATGAATAGAGTGTGACAGGATATCAGGTGCATTTAGGTGCGAATGGTAGTCTCTTGTGAGCTCGGGGCTCATTAGCCCTTTTCCTTTGTTTTAGTCTTGACTAGGACATTAGTTGTTATGAGTTTTGTCTCTGTCTAGAGGTCGTGCGCGTTTGTGGGTGGACGGATTTGTGAGCAGGTGTTGTTTCATTGAAGGTCATCGATTGAGGTTTTGATTGAAAGGGTCTATTTACTTCCCCGGAGGGAGGTATAGCCTTTAGTTTTGTAATCTTTGTTTTGAGAATGGTTTAATTAGTACGATGTGAGGCACGGATTGCCGA